CCTCACAGGGCAGATGTTCCAGGCTCCTGATCATCCTTGTGGCCCTGCGCTGGACTCTCTCCAGCCCTGACTAGCTACCCCTCACTGTCCTTTCTGTGCTCGTGCCTTTTGACACCTCCCTCTCACTTCGACTGTGTTCACTGTCACACAGCCCTCTATCCTGGCCCAACCTGGATTTGCAGTGTGGAAAACGAGTTGCTCTTTTGGGCCCCAGACAGACAAACCTGGCTACCAAATGAAGCTACTGGTCTGAGTTTGGGAGCTGCGAAGAGCAGAGTTGGTTTGGCTCAAAATTTGAATTCACGTACCTGAGTTTTCCCCCCAGTGCTTTCCTGAACGAGACTCCGGGACATTGAGCAAGTGATTGAGAAGCTTTGGAAAAAAGACCCCACGGAGTTGCATATTCCCAAGGCAATAAGTTCCTGTGTCAAACAACAGAGCAAAGCAAGAGGCAGTTATACTTAACAGGTGTAAGAAAACGGAGCTATCGAAGCAGAGCAAGAACCACCTCTTATTTTTATTGCTTTCTAGCAAGTTTATTGTAGCTTATATTTGCATTTCTCACATGCACAAATTGATGCGTGTTAAAATCATCTATTAATTAAACTAAACGATTAAGTGCTGGAGACACTAGCCATCTTTAAATGCTGCATTAAAGAGCAAGATTGAAAGCTAAAATGAATGGCAGTTGCTTGTTCTAAAGATTTCTTCAGCTCAGTTGGCTTGAATTCTAACACTGAAATGACATGGAAAATGGTTTCTTACAGGAATGCTGTTCTCAACTTCCTGCTCTACACCATGTATTCAGCACTGTTCATACTAGCAGTGGTCTGGCCTGTGTTTCTGTGTGCAAGTGACCCGCTGCTGTCCACGAAGCAGAGCCAACGTGTGCACGTTGCTTCATCAGAGAGACCCCACATGGGGAACGAGCCCCCGTGAGCCTGAGCAGAGCTCCCTGCCCCAATACCCTGATCCTGACTACAGGCAGCAGCAGGTGCTCCAGAAGGGACTCAGTGACGAAGCCTGCAATGGTCCTGCCCCAGAACACTCTGTGCCCTGTTATTTGTAAGTGGGCCATTGGAGTAGCACTTTTTTAATAGCCCTCCCTGGGTTTTCCCTTTTGAGTTTGTTCAAACCCTGCTGATCCACTTAAACACTCTGCATGCATCATACCCTGGGGCCAGGAGTTCTACAGCTTAAGGTGAAGAAGCAGATGCTGATCGTGCTGAAGAAAAAGAACTAGATACTCAACTGGAGTCAAGGACGATTACTTTAGCTAAAGGAAGGAGCTGTGTCCAATAATACTAGTTATGGATTTGTCCCCTGATCTCTTCGGGTAAGAGAAAACAGTGATATGAAGGATAAGATTCACCTGTCCGGTTGCAGAACTCTACAGGTAAAAGTCATTTAAACTCCATTTATGGGCAGAGGAAGACGGCCACTTTGAAATGGGGGAGAAATCCATCACTTTGCTAACAAGGGCCAATTCCTGCCCTAGGGAATGAGGAGCTGTCTACTTGCAACACATTGGAATAAAAAGCAATGGTGTTTTGATGGACTTCTGCTTGGAGGGATTAACAGTGGAACTCTCAAGCACCTGTAAAGTATCACTTCATTTTCTAAAGCAGATATAAAAGTTCTCTTGTATATAAAACATTATATTTATTGCATGGGATCTCTATGCTTTGCTTTATTATGAAAAGTAGAGAGCAAGTAGCTGTCTAATGAGCAGCTACCAAGGACAGGGATCAGTACACAACTGCATCGACAGCAGGCTAAGAAACAGCAGTCGAAAAAAAAACTAATATTCATGCAAGTTTCCACCTTTATCAGAAGCAAGTTTCTCAAAACTAGAAAGCTAGAAATGAATCTGGATACCCAGAAAAAAAAATGACCTGATTCCACAATAATTCCATTTCAATAACGAAAGAAAAATTCAGTTTTGTCTAAAACCCCATTCAGGTTTAATGATGAAACAAAGGTGGTACTGAGAATTTTAAATAAAACAACCCAAATATTCTTACCTGATTCCCGTCAATGGTGTAACCGTGTTTGAGTGCAAAGATCTTGGCCATTGACACAGCCATTGAAAATCCAACTATGGCTATAGCTACTGCATCCACAAATATTGTTGGAATGAGCTGAATCTCAGGAACTTTCGGTGCACGTAACCTTGGAGATGAAATGGTTATAATTTAACATAATAAAAGCTCCATGACATATGGAAAAGGTATATTTTGAATAAGAATAATCATCCTACCCTTGAGGAATATTCCCAACCACAGCCACTTCATATGAGTCAGTCAGATTCATTCCAGCCGAAACCGCTGTGCCAATGATTACCTGAAAATTCACACAAACATTGGTAAACATCAGCTAGACAGAGACAAAGCCATCTGAAGAGTCATTAGAGATAACACACATATGGCCTTGAATTTATTTGTCAATCAGCTTTTTAAGACTTTCTGCGTAGGCAGAGAAACAACTAAAATGGAGGAAGTTGAGACCTTCATTTCATCACCTTCATCCCCACTGCTTTTATGAAGTTTTTTGCAAATTGAGTGGAACATGTGGTATGACCTGAACCACTCGAATCCCCCTGCTTGAGTCAAACCCAGCTGGAAGGCCACGCACATGCTGCTAGTCTAAAGGAAATAAATGGCAAGGACAAGCCAGTGAGGTTCACGCTGCCACCTGCTCATGTACATCACCTGCATATCATTGATAAACACAGCTGACCCAGCAGCAGTGACAGTTACAGATCTAAGGAGGCAGCAGCCTCACTGTGGAGCAATACTCCAGCACATCAGCACCATCACCCTCTCTCAATAGCACTCCCTTCTCTGCTCTTTCCACCTCAGCTGCACCCACGCCTTCAGCTATTCTCTTCCTCAGCTGATTTTGTGCAGATTGTTTGAGAGTTCTAGTTAACTTACCTTTAAAAATACCTGAATCGAAAATGTGTTCTCAGCTACCTGAGACATAGACTTTGTGTCTGTTAAGATATTCTGACAATTGACTGCAGCACTGATTCTGTTTTGAGTGACTAGTGTAAAACTAAAATACACAGATAAATGAGTCTCAGGAACAGAGGAAAAAATGGTAAAGAGAGTATTTAACTTGCACCAGTTTCTCTTCCTTTTTTGACCATTGCTTTTTAAGAAAATATCCAAGCCCTGCAGAACCTCTGAAACACAGGGATCCATAGGTATCTTCTTTCAGGAGATGAATTGTGTGCTCTTCAGACTCTTACGAGGAAAATGCTACTCACAGAAATGTTTTGCAGAGACTCAAGCTACGGGACGGAGCTTTTTTTGGACAAATGTCTCCCTAGCCATTGCTATAGAGGATGGTGTCCGACAGAAGTTATTCTAAAATCCAATCCAACATGATAGATCATTTCTACAGCTCTAGAGAACCTGCAAAATTTAGCCCTGGAAGTTCATGCCAAGAACGCACTCACCACCGCGCTCTGGGCGATTTCCTCCTGATGTGACCTCTCAAATCCCAAAGTATCGTGGGCAGCACATGCAGAAATCAGTCATTTACAGCCAACTTACCACGATGATCTCCATAGGAATGGGAACTGGGAGCTTCTTCTTAAACCGGAGATTGATTTCCTTGCCAATCAACAACAAAACAATGCACGTTAATCCAACTACCAGTGAGGCAATATTGGTGGTTGTGATTGCTGAAATCACAGCAGCTATGCTCTGCAACAAAACAGAAATATCAGAATTATTCATTTGCGAAGATGAGATGAATTTATTTTCATACATTGCTGTTTAACTGAGATTTTATTCTGCACCACAGGGAACTAGTGCCCAAACCCTACCACCCACATAAAATACAAAGTTAGGAGTATCTCAGTGAGAGAGTTGTCCTTACAGTCATTTATAACATCAATCTTAGCAAAGAGGGACAAAAATTTGGAGAAAAAGTCCTTCTTGTATGGAAAGAAAAGTGAACTAAAGCCTCTCTTTTACCCTTAACAGTTTCACACTTATACTGGATGCCACCTCAAAGCAATAAATTCCAACTCCTTCTAATACCTTCAAATATTCTTTGGCAAATCACATATATTTAGAGCTGCATTAGTCATTTTAATCTAAAACAACACACAAAAAAAGGTGCTGATACAGCCAGTGGGGTTACCACAGCAATACCCTTAAGTAACAACGATCTTGCAACATTGCTGAACTGGCCAATGTCCCAAATAACTTTCAGTTGGAAAATACCATCAGAACGGATGCTAGGAAAGGAAACTTGCTGAAATGCACAGATTGCCAGAAGAATTGGTAAACAATTCCCCAGCAACAATTCCTCCTACTCCTTCCACTACATTTAAAAATGAAGTAAATGACCTCTGGAGAAGTCTTTGGAAAAAGATGTACATACCCTTCTTTAGATGGGAGGTAAACTACAGCAACTATCAAAAGGACATTACCAAAGTCCCAGCACCTTGAATAGAGAACTCCCATTGCTGGGCGGTTTTTATTTGATTTCTGCATTAGGGAACTGAATAGCAAACTCAGAAATTAACCACCAGTACAGCCCTGTTTCTGAAAGGCTTTTTATATGTGCACAAATATTGAAGAAAGGTTTGCACAAGGCTTGTCTACAGATTCCATGCCTGCCATTGAAATACTGAAGCTCCTTTATTGATGAGCCATCAGCTTACTCAGAAGAAGTTTTGCAGATGTCCCTGATCCTTCCTACTCTTCCACTCAGGATTTCTTACCTTTAAGATCAGATCCTGTGAAAACAACTGGGGGCTTCCTAGACTGGCAGGATTTTTTTTCAGAATCCAACTGTCAATTTTAAATTTATGTGACCAAGAGGTTCTGGTTTTACCTAATTTGTACTTATCAAATCACAGCTTTATACTGTATGGACTCCCTCTTATCACTATGCGCTCTATGCGTTAGAGAGACTGAGTCAGAGATCAGGCTGTGAGCTATGTCAAATCCTGGGTCTCACTTGATGAGTTTAATGTTTAGGGTCTTTATTAAAGGGCACTGTTGTCCACTGAACGCCTGTCTTTCCAAACAGTTTGTTTTCCACTGCTCCAAAGAACAGGTACGTTTTGACAACACAGCACATTGTGTCCAGCCACACTACGGCTGCTTACAAACAGGAAATGAAGAATCCACCCTCAGGAACTGTGTGTGACACTTAACAGAAAAAAAAAAGGAAGGAAAAAAAAGCACAGGCTGACCAAGGTTCTGGGAACATTTGCTAGTTTTAAAAAACATGTCAGGTTTATAGGGTAAAATATTTATTTTGGAGGATAGCTTAATTAATAGAACACTACCTCTCCCAAAATACACAAAAGATGTGCTCCAGAAGACATCTGCTCATGTAACAAAATTACATCTAGTGGATTCCCAAAGCCTGCCCATCTCAGCCTGTGTTGATCTATCATCTCTCACCAAAACTGCACTTTAACATGCTCTTATATAACTCTTAACCAAAGATACTTCATAGCCAGTTGTGAATACTAAATAGTTATTCTACTTAGTGCTAATTTAAAAAAAAAGCCTTAAGTATTGGGGAATAATTAACAACAGGGATTTCTTATTTTTAAGAAATGTAGTAACTTACATATACAACTGAGAGGGGCCCACTGTACCGGCTAGTCTTCACTCCAAGCAGATACTTTAACTGAGAAGTGAAGACATGAACCGCAGCAGCAGTAGTAAATCCTCGTACCAGAGGCTCTGTTAGATATATGGCCACAAACCCAAATCGAAGGAGACCTAAACACAACTAATGAAAAAAGAAAGATAAACAGCGTGACTCCCAGTGTAGCCTGAATAGCAGCACGGTGCACAAAACAGACTGCAGGGCACTCCTTAGGCTGATGCCCAAGCTAGCTCAGACAGACCTATCCAGGGCCTGTTAAATTTGGCCTTTTTAAGGCCACAGTTCAGTGACCAACCATCCACACAGCCCATCTTCCACGTCCCTGGCTGGTGCGATAGGAGCTATGGCTAAACACCCGTGTTTGGGTACATCCATAGACACACTGGAGTCCGTCAGGTGAAGCTTTTCTGAGGGGGATAGGAGGAACGAAGAGGGAGGTCTGGCATTTCCCAGCGCAGCTAAGATGCCCACATGATGTGCTCATCCCCAGCACATCCACCTCGGTGCTGCTGTGAGGCTGGCATGAAGCAGCCTGGATTCTGCATAGGGCAGGGCTGAAACACACGTTTATTGACAGGGAACCACCCCGCCCGAGCTCCCCTCGCAAGCACAACGGTGGCAGCAGCATCGGCAGCATCTGGACGTGCCCTGCAGCAGGAACGTACCTGGATGATGCCTGAAAGCAGGGCGAGAGTCACAGCGACCTGCACCCTCCTGGCATCCCTGGAGGCGAGCAGCTCTGTCACGTTGGTAGCGTTATAGCCCTCGGGAAGCACCTCGTCAGGCACCACTCTCACAGCAACACCGCCGATCATCATGCTGATCACTGCAAAGGTGCCTGAAATAAATACGAGAAGAAAGCCATCAGTCGAATTTCCAGTAGGTTTCTTTAAGCTGTTATACAATTTTCTATATAAATGTTGCATTTTATTGCCACTGTCTTCTCCATGGTGGCCAAATCCATCATTTTTTCCCATCTCACTTTCTATTATGCAGAAGAAAGAATAATCCTGGTCACACAGACAGCTGTTTATGAGTTAAAATTAAAGTTCAGGAGCTGACAACATATTTCCAGATCTAACCCAATGCAAGCACCTATTCCATTCCTTCCTAAGTAGGACTGATAAATTAATAAAATATTGCTGATTTTGGCACATTTATGTTTCTCTTACTCACTTGATTTGAATTTATATGAAACAGCTACACTTCCTATGTCTCCAATTCTATCTTTTACGTTTTATTAAACACACACACACACGGTTATCCATACAGATATACCTATTGATATGTGCTTCGAGGTCCCAAAAAAAGTATATAGAAAGACAGGATAAAACGAAGAATATAGGCCAAACACTGGGGGAACAGCAGCCAGCAAAGCATAGGCTAAGCCTAGAAAACAGACACAAATACTTATGTTAGATAAACAGCCAAAAGAAAAACCATTTGAAACAAAAGATTTAAGGCTACTAACAATGAACGTATCAATATGAACACTAGTGACATATCACAGGTTAAGAAATATCTTGCAGGAAATGTTCTTAAACATGTATTTATGCTGCAGGGCAGTGCACACAAACAGCCAAACCTGGTTGCTTTTGTTTTCCTTTGTCAAGAAAATGTAAAACCACCTCCCTAGCAGAACCTGCCTGCTTTTTTTCCACCTTTTTCATGTGATCTTCACAGCAATCTATGATGGATAAATCATTTTCTTGCCCCATCCGCTCCAGAATGAGTGGGATAACATATGGACTTGTGCTTACACAAAACATGCTCCAAAATATAAAATAAACAGGGAAGCAGTGCTTAGGATCTATGAGGCGATGGAGCTAATACAGTCCCTCACTCCTCACAGCATTCAGAGAACAAATCCTAGCGCAGCAGGGCTCATGCAATGAGTGTGGGATCCCTGCAATTCCCACGTGTGGGTGGGAAGGTGGGGATGAACTCAGGGGAGGCCACCTTGGTGGTGACCGAGGGACACCTCCCACAAGGCTCCTTCCATGTGTGACTGAGGACGTGCCTGCCACGGGAGCGGGCTCACAAGCGGAGCGGGTACACCATGAGACACGGCCCTGCCCTGGCCCGAGCAGTGCCACCAAAACCAGCACTTCTGCACGACATGTCCTACTGAGGACTATACACCAGGACTGAAGAGAGGGGCTGCAGCCAGGGAGGAAAACCCCACGTCCCGGCTGGGCTTGACTCTGCAGTTCATTTTGTGAGCTCAGACTGACATATGATGCACGAGGGAGCTGGGTGCTCGTCACACTCAGGTGGACTGGGCCCCATGGGGACAGAAAAGCTGCCCAGCCCAGCATAAATTAGGAATAAGTAGACACAGTTCACCCACAAAGGAGAACAAGATGGTACTTTTTAATACTTCTCTGTATTCATTTATTTGTAAATTGAGAGAATGAAGCTTGACAACAAAATGACTAAATCAGGAAGGGATCTTCAGGGTGATCCCTTGTGATGTTGAATAGTCCATAGAGCCTTGGCTCATGCCCTGAAGGTCTGACACCCACCCCAAGGTCCATATCTGCCACCGAGCTAGACTGGTACCATTTATTCTGCTGCAACAATGAGCTTTTCACTAAGTACTTCTGAAATTCACCCCACCTGGTACAGGAACCACCTCATGCTCAGAGCAATAGCAGAACATCTTGTGTCATACCAACCTGGCCTTTGATATGGTGCTGGAATTATCAGTAAAAATGACTAAAATTAAAACTAGTGGTTTCAGACAGGAGTGTGGATCTAGGCAGAGTTTCTGATCCAAGTGTCCTTTCATTCCCTTTCCTTTTTATTTGTATTGGCATTTTTTAAGAGTTGTCATTGCCAGGAAAATACAGAGATATTGACATGACAAGAGTTCACTGCTCAAACCCTCTGACTGGAATGATTCCCGGGCTGCTTTGGGCTCATATTTGCTATGAGCCCATCCATTTCAGAGAAAAAAAATACAAAAAAGAAACCCCTGCGTTTAGCATGTTAGAAAGGGAAAGATCCAGAGCAGTTCAAGGACATGTCTGTAGTCACCATTGGAAGGAATAACGCTTAGTTTAAACTTCAGTTCACTGCTGAACACTTAAACCTTATCTGGTCATAAACTTGTCATCTCAGACTGTTTCAGTGTACAACTGGTAACACCTGTGCCTGAATACTTGACGAATTTGACAGACAAATTTCTCTGGTTAGCCACCAATTCACCAGTTTAAGATAAACTGATACTTATATCCGTACAAGAAAAAATATTATTAAACTATTAAAAAAAATAAACTATGTTAAAAGGAAAAAGACCAAACGCAGGAGGCTGCAGGGAAGAAAAAAGAAAGAAAAAAAAAAAAAAAAAAGAGAAAAAAGTCAACTACACAGGTTAAGTCGGGATATTCCATTACTTTAATGGGTTAAAACCAATTAAAACCTGGATTTCTTAGATTTACTAATTCCTCTTTAGACTTGCCTCAGCCTGAAGAAGAATGTGTGAGGTGGAAATATGAAATAAGCCTAAAAACAAGTAAACTCATGTACACTTAACTGCCTTGCTCTTTGCACTGCAAGAAAATCCAGAAGGCCCAAGGAAGCCGAGGACACCACTGGACTTGGTGCTGAATCAACTCAGGAATTCTCTGCATTCTGGGGCTTCCTGCGAGGGCTGCTGGGACTGCAACAGCTGCAGAGGTGCCATTCCCAGAGCACTGATGGCCACCAGAACGACGCTGCCCTGCGCACACGGTGACTCTCTAAGCCCATGGCTAATAGCAACCTGCCAGCCTGAACAGAAAGGCTGCACTGGTGCTGTCGCCAACATGCAACACAGTAACCCAGAACCTGCCCCTTCTTCAGACTCTGGCTCCACTCGGGGTAGAACTTCCAAATGACCCTGACTTATTTCCACCATGTAAATCCTTGCCTCTCTCTCCTTAATAAAGTGATCAGTCTCCAGTTTCTTGCACATTCTTCTCCAATTTAATTTGGTTTGGTTGTTTCACAACACTTGCTTCTCTGATAGGATACCATCTCCCTGGTGGATTATATCTGGTATTAGATACTGATGTGCTCTGCAGAGAATTTTGTAGTGACTTTCATGATGAGATCAGAAAAATCAAGAGATCATAAAACGTTGGGTTATATTCAGAAAAGATTGAACATGCACTTAAACTGTGAAAAGTTGCTCTGTGAGTGAGAATTGTGGATACTGGTCAGAGCAGTAGGCTTCTTGCAGAGAGTTTGCTGCAAACCACTGACCTGAAGTATTCAGGCAGTCATCACTATGGGATGGTTTGCAGAATGTTGTACTCACCTTCATGCACTGCCTGTTTTCATGGGCACCTGTTCAGGAAGCTAAGCACTATCATAAAAAACATACCTGGAAAAAGCAAAAAAAAAAAAAAAACCACCCCAATACATAAAACTCAGAGATACTCACCTTGAGGCAGCTGCATAACCCCAGTGCTTATACCTGAGATAATATCTCCTAATAAATATTCCTTCACTGGGTAGCGGGGAAGCCATTTTAAAATTGGTAAGAAACTGTAAAGATGAGACTTGGCTTTCTTAGAAGAACAACTGCAAACAGAAAGCAGAAAAAGTTAAGATATTTGCAGAGGACAAAAGGGGAAAAGGAATCATACCTTTCATGCCTGACCGGGGAAATGGCTCCACTAAAGGGAAGCTCAGTGCCCTGATTACAGTGACTAAGCTTAAGCCAAACACAACCACGGTGCCAGTTAATTTCCTAATTTATCACATGTTGACAGTGCTAACAAATCGTATGGAGCTGGAGAAAATCACAGTCATGTGACTGGATTTCAGCTGGAAGGGAAACTATTCAGGTCCACACACAACTAGGCAGTCACAGGATACTTTTTGTTGAGATCATTTCTACAACAACAATCCCTTGAGGATAACTTGCTTTTTGAAGGTGTTTTCACTCATAGACCTCAAAGCACTTCACAATGCTGTTTACTATTTTTATTTACTATTTGTATACTTTGACTACTGTATTATAGTATTTTATACCATTTCCATATTTTTACTGTTATTTTACTACATCTTTTTAGATTACTGACACTAATGGGCTGTTTTTAAGGCTGTTTAAATACAAATCCCTTATTTACCCTGAAAATAAAGGCATTAAAGTCAGCAAGACTGATCCTTGTTTCTTATAGTAGAGTTATTAACCTTTTGAAATCCTGGGTCATTACAAATGATTAGGGCCAGGAAATAAAAGTTCCATCTCTATCCAGCTCTCCCCTGCACCATACTTGGGTTGCACTATGTCGAGAAAATTTAACCTTGGGTAAAAATACAGCACTAAAAGCATAGAAATCCTTCACTGCAAGAGAACCGCAGAAATTTGCTATTTTTCCCCATTTTTTATTGTAATAAATAACATAAAGAAACCTATTACTACATGTGGGAGAAGAACGAGAGAAGCATCCATACTTCTCCTCCTTGTATAAGCAGACTGAACTGCGGAAATTCTGCATTTTGATTTATTCAGGATAGATCCATTTTCTTGAGTGATATTAGGAGTCACTACATTGGAAGAGCTGGCTACATCATTGAGCAAAGCAAGTCTCTAAGCGTCAATCACCTGAACTGCCATATTTAACAGATGAGATGTCAGCCAGAAATTATTTGTTGTCTTGCAGAGCAAGGTTCAGAAACAGATCGAGTCAACTGTGCAAATGAAGCACTGATAAATGTAAAGTTAACGAAGATTTAACTGGCAGAAGCTCCTCTTCCTTCTCTGGCTCCAATGGAGCAAGAAAGCTGCACAGTTTCTTTAAAATATTATTTCCTGTCTAACCAGAGGTTATTTAGATTCCAAGGCAATTAGTTAGAATAACAGAGCATCTCTGTGAAATCCTTATTCGGCTAATAATTTTGATCTCTACACAGCAGTCATATGTTCCCATTGTGCCTCTGAGAAAGGATCATGTGAAACACAAATTTGGCCATATATATTTCCACATAAAAGGGGCAAATATTTTTCTGGCTCTTGTTTTCAAGGCTTATGAACTCATGTGTCAGGTGACTAAACTGACACTAACCTGCCAACTAATTTATACAACGCTGTGTAATACTGCTATGTAATATTGCATATTAAAAACACTTTAAAAGTTTATTACAAACTTGCTGAATAAACAAACTAGACCCACTATTTTTATCTTTTAAGTTACTTCAAGGGAATTACCAGATATGCATACGAATCAACTAAGTATTACCACTGTGATGCTAAGCATTTTGTCAACTAAGACAAAATAAAGATTGAGACCCAAAACCATACCGACAAGAATGGGCCACCCTCTGTCCAAAAGTCTGAGGTGTTCTTTCCCGTCTGTGCAGCTGCCCTTCCAAGAGCTCTTGGTTATATATTGGTCTCTCCACATGATACTTCTGGGCCTGCTCAAGACAGGCTTCATCTTCTTCAGCATATTCCATAGTTGAGCTCAGCGAGCAGAAGGAAGGCAGACGTTCACAGTCTCCTTTGGAAAACCTGGCCATATACAAAAAGTTTCATCACCGAATGTTATTTTTGAACCTCTGGTTCGGCATTTCCTTCTAGAGAGCAACTTTTGACAAGCTGGATACAAGTACGGTGAAAGGAATTTAAATGCACTGCTTAGCCTGTGTGACAACAGTAAATCATACTCATGACCTTTATTAAATAATGGCAGGAGTCATTATTTTTATGCTTCCCTTTGGTAAAGAAAGCATTTGCATTATTTACTCTAAGTAATTACAGAAACACAAAATTGGGAGGTTATATTAATGATTATCTGCTATCTCCCTCCTCATTTTTAAAAAGAGATCTCAGTATCTAAGGGAGATTACTTTATTGCTGACTACTTCCTGCTTACTTAAAACTGTCACATCGATCTCCAGAAGACAGAATTCCTATTTTAACACTGATAAAGCCACTACTTTTTTTCCCCTCTAGACAGCCAGTTGCTTCCTACCAGTGTTATTCTCCCTCTCTCTGAGGGCTTTTTACCAGACAGCATCTCAAGGAGGCAAATATCCTAACTTTCCAACATTTACCCTTTCAATGGTTGTGCCACTTACTGCTGTTCTCAGTCCTGAACCCACCCCAGGGAGGGGAACGCAGCCCCTTCAACCCGCCGCTTCCCACCAATGTCCTTCACTCCAGGAATCAGAACAGGAACTGGCCAAAATGCTTCCACAATAACCATGCACAGACACAAGTCATTAGAACTGATATGCTGTGTTTGAGTGTGCTCAAAATATTCTCCTCTTTTTGACTGATTTGCTAGGCTTTCTTGGAGAGGAAACTTGAAAACAAGCAAGAAACTTCAACTTGCGAAATGTTTGGAAGGGTCTGACTCAACGGATACAGTCATTTTTTCAGGGGAAAAAAAAGGAAGTAAACATACTAACATATTTTTAACATGCTGGGAATTAAATAATGACAAATACATATATTTAAACTGAATCTTGCCACAGTTATTCTAATCTAGAGATACTACTTACAGCTTGATCTTTTGAAGTCACAGGAAATAGAGCCATAATTTTGAGCACAGCTCTTAGGCTCAAGTCCAGCAAGGCACTTAAAAATATATTTGCCTTAACCATAACAGTTGACCCAGAGGTGCTCAATTTTTAGCTGTATATCAATACTTTCCTAGAAATGGGTAATTGCACAAAAAATAAATAAATTATCAGCTAAACACTTAAACAAAGCTTACTGTTATTGGTACAGCACCCTGACTTAGCAAATACACTCTGCCCAGCATCAAAATATCCCTATTACTACATAGCTCTTCAGGCTGACAAAGGTGCTGGAATTTTCCACCCAACCCAGGGCTTATGGTTCTTTCCCTTTTATAAGGGATATGGTTTAGCATCTCGTCAGTTCTCATCAGTTTGTAAGCCACATTTTGTCAGATAGTCAGAAAGGGATATTTTTACCCAAATTTATTTTTTTCTTTACATCATATTCAAGATTATCCCATGAAATAAACTTTTCTAATACTGTTCTTGCAAAAAAGTTTTATGTCAAGGGTGTTGTTATAGCTAACTATCTAGTTATGTTACCTTTGCATTCCTGAAACACTTTTTAAGCTTTTCTTGCATTTTTTCCATGGTTTCAGCTCACTGAGAAGCCTGAATACTTTGTGATGCTAGCATCTCTTAGCATTACTATATTACACAGCTTTTTCTCTGGCCTGCAGGTTTTGATGCAGTCAGCATCAGAACAGGATCATTCAACCAGCAATTCCCATCTAACACAGCCCTGTGTTTTTCCCCTCAGCCTCCTATTATCACTTAAATATTATTTTGCATTTAGAGCAATGACTTCAAAGCTTCTTTATGCTTGATTTTTTATACCGATGTCTAGCTGACTGCTAACACCCCTTCCTAACCTGTGCCCATTACAGACACTGAGCTACCCACAAATACAAATGTATTAACTCCTGCTCAGTGAAGCTGGAGGTATGAACAGCAGACAAATTCCTAAGAACCACGAGCAGGATTTAACAGCCACAGACCCCCTTGGTGGCCAGGCAGGGAGTGCACACAGTAAACTCAACTGTTTACATTAGTCTCTCAAGACAGCAGAATTCACAGCACACGTGTAGCTTCACGGAAAGAAAGTAACAGACTTTAAAAAGATTTTTTAATCACTTTGTGAGGTCAAGCTAACAAAGTAGTAGAGGCTAGGTAAGTGAATGGGGGGGTGAAAACAAGCCTGAAATGCCAGGCTCCAAGTCAGCAGCAGCTCAAAGTCCAGCTGAAGGCGAGTTATGGGTAGTGCAACTCAGGGTCGGTACTGGGGACAAATGCTGTTTAACATCTTCACTGATGACCTAGATGAGGGGACAGAGGACACCCTCAGCAAGTCTGCATATGGTACACTGGAGAAACAGGCAGACAGGAACCTCAGAGTTCAATCCAGGAAAATACAAAGTCTGGCACCCAGGGAGGAACTAGCCCTGGAATCAGAACAGACTGGGGACAGGCTAGCTGGAATGCAGCTTTGCAGAGAAGGACCTGGGAGTCCTGGGGAACAATAAACCAGCAATGTGACCTTGTGGCCAAGCAGCATCTTGGGCTGCATTAGGCAGAGTATTGTCAGCAGGCTGAAGGAACGGATCCTTCCCCTCTGCTCAGCACTGGGGAGGCCACATCCAGGACACTGGGTCCAGTTCCAGGTTTCCTAGCACAAGACAGACATCGTCACTGTGGAGCAAGCCCAGGGAAAGGCTGTGAAGATGAGTAAGGGCCTGGAGCAGCTCTCCTATGAGATGATGCTGAGGAAACTGGGACTGTTCGGCATGGAGATGAGAAGGCAGAAGGGAAATCTTACCAAAGGGTATAAAAATCTGAAGGGAGGGAATAAAGGAGATGGAGCTAGATGCTTCTCACTGATGCCCAGTGACAGGACAGGCAGCAGTGGGCCCAAGCTGACATAGTAATTTTGAATATGCATTTAAAAGAGATCCTAAATCTACTCAACAACTACAACTGGATGCATCATTTGCTGGATTACATGCCATGCTAGTAAGTTCATTTTAACAGTCCCCCATACGCTGATGATCATTCTGAATACTAAGCAACAGACAATACAAAGATGAACATCTCTAATATCACCCATCTCTTTTGCAAAACAAGAGGAGAACAAAAAGGGCCGGGAAGCTTGTCTTACAACAGGCAATATATGACTCTACAGAGCACAGGATTAGCAGCATTTTGTCATGTTCGGCAGTGTCTGTGAGTGTTTTCTGAAAAATCTTTACATAGCAAAGATATCCAAGGCTTGGAAATTCAGCCTCGTCCATCACTCAAGAACAAGAGCAGCCTTTTTCATTTCTGCTTTCATTTCCAAGAACTATTACTGACCTGTCCAAGAGGAGAGTGGATCCTTGGGCATTTGTGGGTCTGAAGTAACAGCACAATATTGCTCTTGGACAACCTTTGAACTTAGCAGCAAGTATTAAAATTAGTAAGCTGTAAGAAACACTGCCATTAACTTTATCAGCCAGATAAGAGTTGAGCTGAAGTAGTTAAGGGTTGAATGGAAGAGACTTAAATCTTGGTGATCCTTTATCTGACTCTTGGCAGATTCTTTATCTGACTGATAAAAGCCTTTTCTTATGTCTTTACCGCTGTTATCAAATCAAAGGTGTTAAACAAAATGAAGTAATCACTTTACAACAGCATCATTAGTAATTCAGTACTTTCTCTTCCTAGTTTTGTACAATAAAATAGGACTGACAAGCCACCTACACCAATTCCGGTAGCTCACCATGATTTTTGGTGCCATCTACACCAAGATACAGACAGAAAATTTATTTGGCCCACGATGTGGAGGGACACTGTGAACATTCAAATACAAACTGAATACTAGCTCATTCTGGTCTCCCCTTCTGCCAGACAGATAAGAGATGGCCTCTGTTTCCAGTATACATGCTTTTATAACCATGACAACCTACGGAAATTGGATTATTCATATTCCTGTTTTTTTATGGCTTTAGTGACCTTGAGCCTGAATCTGCTATTCCTACCCCTATCACAACATTTCTTTGCAGCTCAAAAAGCAGTAGCTAGAGATAATGGACTCAGATAAGATAACAGTTATGGTACCACAGCTGATGACCCTTCTGTCATGCTCAGCCAGACAAATCAGGGTGTAAAGCCCTTTATGTGCTGCAGGGACAGGCAATCATTAGCTAGCTGCTCATTTCCCCAGACACAACCTAGTCCAAGACTAGGAGAGGCCTTCACTGTAGAGATCCGACCTCCAGACCAGGGAACATTAATCAAGATCACCACATATTTGAGAAGCTAACCCAGAAATCCACGTGTCCTTAGTGAACCAATGACCTCCAGCAGCTGGACATTTGTACAATATGTGGCTCAAAATATCTAAGCCCTTGTGGCACTTTGTTGTGCCAATTTTCTTCAAAATGAACCAATCAGACACCAAATCAGCATCTGGCCAAGCAGAAGGGAGTCATTACACGATCCATTTTATTTAGTATTGAAACCACCTAAGATTCTTACCCCTCCATACCACAAATGGTTTCATCAACCCTGTTTACGCACACCACACTCTCTCAAGGGGCTGCATCACGCTAAAAATAAACCTTGGAGGAGAAAAAAAAAAAAACAGAAGGCTGTTATTTATAAACAGAATCACTCCAGTGAGCGAGTGACTCCAGAATCACTTCCAGATCATATTATAGTGCAAACCCCTCAAGTTATAGGGGCAGCTGAGGGATAGTGAACCACAGCATGGGAAAAATGACTGAGGAAAAGGGGAAATGAAGGGGTTTAGGATGAGACTCAAGTTTCTATTCTGGTTTCAGTCCTGAAAACAAGCCATGATCTACTTACCCTAACTACTAAGAGGTTGGGGAAACCTCTCCAAGAATCCTCTAGCAGGGTTTCCTCCTACCAGTTTCAGGAAGGATTTGCTACACTGCCAAGCACTGCCATGC